GAAGACAGGGAATGAAAGCACAGCTTGGCATGCACCTGGCAGCTAGTCAAGGTTAATCCACCACACTAACTTCTTCCTATTTCAAAATAAATAGCGATCCCTTAAAAAAAACTAAGAAGTAAATTCAAGGTAAAAGTGACCCACTAAATCAATCACTTACCTTTTTGATGATTACCCCAAAAACCACCAGAACAACTGGTAATAGTAGAGTCTTTATGTATCTTACTGGAGTCTACAATGGAAATAAACTGCATTAATTGCTTTTTATTAATTTATAATTACTTCAGTGCTGATTTTAAACAAAATAACGTAAAGAGTTTTTCCTCAAGTAAAATGTAAATTTAAACATTCAATAAAAATAAAGCAAGCTTAAAGAAACTAAAATTTAAACTCCACCCAGCAGTCACACTAGAGGTCATAATACCAGGGTTATTAGTAAGTTATTCCCAGTTCTTTGGCAAGCCACCCAAAGACTAAAAGTAGATTGTGTCTCATCCGAGTTTGAGTACTATGGGTTGAGGAATCTATAAACATTCTAAATGCACATCTAGATACTGATGAACTAAAACAGTCTACTAACGCCGCACTAAGAAACTTCGATACTATTCTGTAGTCTGTCTACCACACAAGACCTTTGCAGCTCAGTACATTTTACATCTACTCACAAACAGCTACTGAAAAACACATAAAATCTTATCTTTGAAGAATTGTAACCTTTCATTTATCTTTCATTCAAGCAAGCACATTTCTTAGACCCAAAAAATCAAAACACTGGGGTTTTTTTAGTTCATGTAAAAGCAGTAAAACCACCTAAATTTAGCTTAAGTTCATTAGTGTCTCTAACCTCACGAGTAAGCACTTGAACTTACGATGGCAGTAGGAGGTTATGGCTCTCAAATGTTTTAAGTTACAAATTAAGATAAAACAAAAAGTTCCCTCTTCTGTAATCATCTTTGATCAAATTACCTCTTTTTCCATGAAGTCAAACTCTGCAGCACAGGTGTACATTAATGTATCAAAATCCTTGTAACCAATAAATTTAGATTTTAATATATTTCCTATATGAGCCTGGTAGGATATACAGAACAAAAAGCTGTAGTAAGCAAAAACTGTCCTATTTTCCACAACAAAGTAGTGTAAATATATATGAGAAATATTCCTAATTAGAATAGAAGTTTATACCATTTACAATATTTTTATAAGAGCACCAAAGATCTACTTCTGGTATAGTAAATGACATCTTTTGAGTGTAACAAAGATTGGACTGTGTTAAATAAAAAGCAGAAAGCAGCAGAAAAAGGGTGTTACCATTGCAACTGGGTTCAACAAGAGTATAGTTTTGCATACTCATATATTACAGTATGAGCTTCTCATCTTTTGCCCCTTGATGCACATCTGCACATTCTTTAGCAGTAGAATCTGACAATAAAGGGGCTGAAGCGAGGAGTCCTAGTTACAACAAGCATTTCAAAACTGTCTTAAAAATTAGCCTCAGAGGAAAGTGAACTAAGAAGCTGACTTGAAAAAATGTAGGTAGAAGTTACCCAAAATAAACAAAGCTCTATAAATCCACATTTAAAAACAAACACACAAAGCGTTTACTAACTCAGAAGTACAGACATTTGTCTTTTCACAAACTTTGGTAATAATACCTCAAAGTGATAATACATAACGAATGAGAAAACAAATATGTAATCCCTCTCCAATTTCTCCAAAACAAACCTTGGAATTTCAGGAAAAATATATCAGTAAGGTGCCAAAATCAAAATATTATGAATTTAAAAATTTTTGAAAGACACCAACCAGATACTCAGATAAGAGAACTTACATCATCAGCTATTCCAAACACTAAAGAAGTTAGGTATTTCAAGGTGACTGTCCCAAATAACCAGGCACATCCTTCAATGACCTTAAAAAATATATTCAGAATGAAATTAGCATGTCTCAACAAACTTTTAAAGAAACCTTTTCTTTTTTAAAAGTCTTATTAAATTTAGCTACTAGTTACAAACTCTCCTATGTTATCACCAATACGTACAGTAATTTCTAACCTATTACACTTCCCAAATTTGAGTACATGGGGTGTTTTAAAAGGTTTTTTTTGTATTTTCTATTACAGCTAAAATAATTTTGTCCAACTGATTTATATTACAGCTGTACTGCTGCACACAACATTGTAGCAGAGGAGGTACCAAAGTTAACTTTAAACAGGAGCAGCCTGTCAATTCCATCTGTTTTGCATTCATCACCAGTGTGTACTGATTATTTCCCACCCATAGCCTCAGGTTGTACTACTCTGCTAATTCAAATCTTTGGAGGGATTTGCTGATTTATAGAACCTTCCCAAGATAATCTCAAATTAGAAACTGAAGGAAATATAAAGAAAGTATGTACAATTACCACTTTTAGTTACATATCATGTTCATCCCTGTACCAGAAAGATTAAATTCCTGGTTATCTAGCTTAAACTATCTAATTCTTTATAAAACTGGATCAACTGAATAGGACAACCTGACTCAGTATCTTGCATCTGGCACCAGCAGCAGATGCTTTCAGAGAGAATATAACAACAAAATACAAACTGATCTTTACCCTAATTTAACCAGGGTTTTTATGTGACAACAGGTTGCATTCCATCATGCCATTTAATGGCTACAAATGAACCTAAATTCCTATGAGGTACCTAAACCTTTTCTTAATTCCTTTTTTTTTTTTGCTTTTACAGTATCTTTCTTTTCTTTTATAAGCTTGTTGCTGCAATCATAAGGGGCACTAAATAAACTATAATTATATTCTACTTCTGTTCACTGGCATTGTAATATTTACCTTTATTTTACAAGATGTAGAATTCTAACCTATTTTAAAAATCTCAGCTATTTAGCGGTTCTACATTAATAATTATCTTAATACTCCACTTAAAGTTAATGGTAGTACATTTTGGGGAAAGGCACTGTATTTCTTATTGTTATTTTTTTAAGACACATTGACTGAGACTGCATGTGATATTTAGGAAGCTAAGCATGAGATTACAAAATATTTTCTGTTTTCTCTGCAGTTCCTTCTCCATGACTTCCACCATCTATTTTCCTTTTTGATGCCTGCTCAGTAATAAATTGATGTCTTCAGAGAACTTTTCATAAGAATAACAAAGATTTCTCTGTTTCGTGACAAGGACTTATTTAGGATCAATTATTTTATAGACATACTTAGGGTGGTGGTAGTCTTCTTTTGAAAGCTTACTATTTAATCCCACTCTTTGTTTCTTACCTTCTAACATTCACACCTTATCCCATGGAGCTTATTTTCTTTTATAGTTCCAGTTAGATATCTTCCCCAAAAGGTTTCTGAAATTCAAGTGCATTACATTCACCCACACACCCTTATCTACATCCTTGAAGTCAATTACATTTGTAAGGTATGACTTCCTTTCACAGAGGCTGTACTGGACCTGTGTCATTATACTGCATGTACATATAGCCATAACAACTTCATCAGTGTTCAAGTTTTTATTCTTTTACAAAAGTTAGACTTATTGGTCTGCAGTTCCACAAATGCCTTAGATCTCCTTTTTAAGCAAACTGACATGAGATTTGCCTGCACTCCCATTTACCCTGGTACCACAGCTAACTACATTGGCAGGTTATATATGCACTGCAGTTTGTTATAAATATTTTTAAAATTCCATTATATTCTAATTCCTTTATAATAACTGTATGAATTCCATCCAGTTTTGCTAACAGGTGATCCTTCATTTAATAAGAATGCTTGTCTTAAGCCAGGCATAGTCTCAATAGGCTCCCAGTTCAGGTGTTTTTACAAGTTAATGTTACATCTTAAGCAGCAAGTTGCGTCTCATGTTTCTTACAGCGTTATATTTTATTTGTCACAGTTTTGGGGGTGTCTTCTGTGTTTGGATCACTTCCACTGCCCTCAAACCCCACCCACACACCCTTGAGTGCTTTACACCAACTTCCTTCCTTTACTTAGTTATGTAATTTTAAGTTGCTTGCTGTTATAAAAAATATCTTTAAAAAAGGACACATTTTAGTGAATATCTAATGCAGTATCTTACGCTCCATTCTGCAACCACTGTTAGCCTTTTACTCGCCTTTTCTAAATTGTCCTTTATTTTAAAGGGATTTTTCATACTGATCTTAGGTTTTGTAAACATGTTTAGGTTGGTAATTTAAAATAAAATGTTTTGCCATTTGAAGGCTATTTCAATTTTCTGATATAAATTTATGCTTATGCCCCTTTTCTTCCTTCAGTAATTGAAGATAAATTTCTGGAAATATGGACAATTTACTTAAAAAGAGTAGTTCAGCTATATTTCTTGACTCAACTATTAGAAACTAAACCAGAAAAAGTTATTTCTGTATTTCATTAAAACAAAGTCACAGTTCTTTTCTGAAATTCAAAATATATGAAATTCCTTACCCATAGATAGACTTCTCTTCTGCTTTTCCAGACTTTTGGACTCAATTCAAGAATTCCCTAATAATAAAATGAATGTACATTTTCAGGTAACATATTGTAACAACAAGATATTCCAGTACTCTGGATGAGGGGTTTTTTTTGTTTTGTTTTGGTAGGCACCTATTGTACCACACAGCTATTTATTAAAAAAATCCTACATAATGAATACAACCTGAAATGTGAATGACTATATCATCTTGTGATTTCACCTTGCACTGGCAAAACATGCCAACATAAAACGTTTTACTGCAGTTCATATACAATTAATAGAAGACTACTCTTCTCCTTAAAAAGTAAGATTCTGCATTATACAGTTTCAAGCTTTTTTAAATTGAAGCCAATGGGAAAATGAATTATGGCTGCTTCCACGAATGACAAGAGACATCTGAAGCAATAAATAAATAACTGGCAGCATAATACAAACAATTGTCAAACAATGCAACAGAATATGCGGGGTGATAGAAGTTACTGGTATTTTTCTGTTTCACATTATGTTCCTCATTTTATGACACAAGAAAGACTCACTTTAAGCTAATTTGATGAATGATGTAATTAAGAAAAACTGAGAATGAACTTAAAAGCTTTCAGAAACTCAGTCTGTATGTGACACTGAGACGGAGGCCACTATAAGCACCCAAATAACAGACAAACAATAAATATTTTTCCAAAGCAGAAAACAGGCAACATACTCAGTGTACCTGTACTTACTATATAATTACAAAAGTCACTCCAAGAAACTAGAGTTTATAACAAGCAAATTATACTAGAGCAAATATGAGTAGCCAAGGCAGCTTATTCTTAGTATGAGAAATTATCATTCTTTTGCTGATGAACAAAATACAAACAAAAGAAAAAGAAAAAAAAGAATCACTGATCTCACCCCAAGCTTCTGGGAGAGGCAAAAAGAACCAGAAATGAGATGATTTGTAGTATGCTAAACTAGATCTGTTCATACAGTCTGATCTCCTATTTCCTATGTACTCTTAATTCCCTTAAGAGAAACTATATGAAAGTAAAAGAGGTTGGAGGTTGTTTTTCCTATTTAAGGAAAAATTAAGATAGTGGATGACGAGATGATGAGTCTTCAGTGAATAATTTCACTAACATGGCAGTATGACTCAGCAGTTTCAAATAGCCTGAAACCATTGTTATTTATGTTTCAGTCATTTGTTCTGCATTCACAGTTTCACAATCAATAAAGAAGTACTTAAACTCCTCCTTGCTCATGTTCTTGTTTTACAATTATGCTGGTCAAAAATATATACATGGTAAATTTTATATTTTTATAAAAAAAATAAGAGAGCTATAAAAACAAGACAACTGAGTTTTAACTGAACTTCTCTTATGAAAAGGACTTTGTGTAAAAACATGATTTTTTAAATTAGTATTTACCCATTCTCCAAGTAACTTTAAGGTCTAATTCTGTTTGTCATGTGAAAGATTTCTCAACTATCTGGTAATGCAGCAGTTTCACATTCTAGATTAATACGTACATAACAGTACAGCATTACAGCCTTAGCACATCATATGATTTTTTTCTTAAACAACTTACCCAGATAACTACTAAAGATGCAGCATAATATGATGTCAATAACATTGAATTACCAAACATCAGAACAAAACACACTACAAGAGATACCTGAAAGAAGAAAATAAAAAACAATTAAATTTAAAATAGAAAAGGTAAGAATTGCTCAAGAATAGAAATTACCTTGTATCAACACCCGTAAATCTTAAGACATCTACTTCTCAGCAAGTACAAGCTTGATACTCAGCTTACAGAATTGTTCTGAAAAGACTTACAATATAAGGACTTAATGGCAACAGGTAGCCAAGTGTAGATTATTACGTTAATTTATATTTTTAAAGTACTTACAGACAACAGGATTTCATCATAGGACTAACTCATCTTATGTGATATACTTGCTACATTTTTTAAGTTATTCCTAGCATACTCACTTTTTTCAAATTACTGTATTCTTTCTCCATCCTGTTTATCTTTCAAAATCCTGGACAAACATTAAAATGTTGAATAAAATGTGTGTTGTCTTCTTTTTTCCAACTGAGAAGCATATATTTAAAATATAATCATCACCAAAGTCAAGGAAGCTGAACTCTGTTTGATCATATGCACTTAATTATATCAGGTTGCAAGTTAAGGCTGAAATACAACATTTATCTGCCATCCTGATCTCCTACTATGTTTTCTTTTTAATAGAAAGAAAGCTGAATGACATTTTCTAACTTAAAGAGCAAAACTAATTATCAGTCTCTGCCATCTTCTATACACAGGAATAAGGAAAAATAATGTAGTTATTTGTAAAACATGCAGACTTTTGTACTACCCCCATCACATAGTTAGGGTTTAATTTTCTACAGGGGGGTGGAGTGGCAAGAACTGAAACACCACAAAACAAAGACTAGCAGTTTACCCAGCCTCATTAAGCTTTCTTTGTAATACAACATTGTGGTTTATCTATCTGAAAATAGGCTTTTTATGACACTTTGACAGCAAAATTATGATATAGCTATTGACATAAGCCAAAAGGCTTAAGTATTTCATCTTGTTTCTGTCAAAAAAATTACTAAACCAAAATGCTTATTTGCAAATTTTCCTGGTAAATCTGACTGGGAACAAGCATTTGGTATACCGGGTTTATATCAGAAATGAGTTGCATAGAACTTACTGCCTTTACTTTATCATTTACAGTTTGAAAACACAGGAAATAGAATTTAGCTCAAAGCTTCTTTCCTGTAGTAAACACTCTCTTTTTGCCCACTGAGTTTGCATAGCACAATTTTAGCAAAATTGTATTTTTAAAGACAACCATATTTGTTCAAAAGTTGTTTACATCTTCTTGTATATTTAAAACTGTAATCTTGTTTCCAAGAGCAAAACTCCTGGCAGCAAAACTTGATCGTTATCTTAATTTTAAAAGCAGAAACTTACATGCCTTTTATTTATCATCTTCTTTCTTTGTTGACTTTCTCATCCGTTTTTGAAAAAAATAGCTTTTTCTCAAATTAATAATTTGAGGAAAATTTTCTTTGTCCTCTTTTCTAAATATGTTCCCAGATAGTTCAACCATAGCATCTTTTCATGGTCAAGACTACAGTAGTCTTCAAAACCCAATTTTAGTTGGGGTTCTTCTCCTTCAATGATAAAGACTTACTGTTAGCAAGTTTTGACTTGCATCTCATTTTTCTCATTTCTGCTAACCTATCACACGAGATGAATGCTGCCTTTTCAACTTTTTATTGCTCATGTTCTTATTACTTGGTATGGTTTTTAGTCTGTTGTTTGAGACAGTATCTTCAAGTCCATGGAATGAGTAGAGACAGAAAGGAGAGGCAAATATTTCTGCAAATCTTTTAGGTTGATAATTTTTCTGGAGTTCAAAAATCCCTGTGCGCCAGAGGGATCCTAGTTACTGACACTGTGATATAAATACACATAAAATCAAATATTCAAAACCAGGCCCCTCTATCCCTTATCATTGCATCTTTTCAACCACCTTACAGCTAAGGAAAACACTTCAAACAAGTGGCCTCTTTTGATGCTCTGACCTGTTTGAGGGGATTTAAGTTTTTTTAAAAAAGTATTACCATATGAGCAGAGAGTATCTTCTGTAACTTGCAGGAGTCAATATAACCCATAATACACACAGCAAATAAGGAAGCTATCTAGAATCAAAAGTGAAATATTAAAGTTAAAAAAACTTGCAGTGGTCTACTCTTTCTAGCAGAATACACGTTCATACAAAAAAGTGGTTATTCAAACCACCAAACTAACTTTTATTGCTACTTTTTTGCTAAGTAAATACTTAGGCATTTTGTTATGGTTTCTTTCAAAAAAATCTATTGTGGTGCTCTGAATAACAATTATCAAACATATTCAAATGTTTAAGAAATCAGTATTCAGCTTTACAAAAACACAAGCACTAACACATCATCTTTCACCCTTAGATTAAAAAAAAAAAATCATTAGCATTATTTGACCTTAACTTTTCAGCAAAGTATGGGAACATCCATAATTTGCTCCTGAGGAAAATGAGATTCATTGATAAGGCAGCTTGCTAAAAGTCACATGGGAAATTAATGAAGTTATGAATGTAACCTGTAATTTCAAATTTCAGGCCCAGCACCTTAAATAGGTTATAGCAATGAGTTTCTCACAATATTTTGCAGAATTTAATGGCTTGTAGTTAGAAAATTTGCATGCCACAGAATATATTGATTGTTCAAAACTATCAACTCAAACAAGCACCATTTGCTTCAAGTAGGACAGTCAAGTGAAAAGGTATGGAGACATAGATGGATTTCAATCAACAGGCTACATTTCAATAAATTTAAACACCAAGAAAGTGTGTTGTATGACAGTATCCTAATGCTTACATTAGCATTTACTGTATTTCAACACTGAAGTTACCTCAACTGTACAAATCCTCAGACAGTAAGATTATGCCACTACTCACAGGCTCATCAAAATTAAATAGGAAATCATGCAAAATCATGCCAGATATTACATGCCATGCAAACATTGCTCCATTTAAAAATTTAGAATAGCCTAAAGAGATGCAAGATTAATGCCTTTTTTATTTTTGTACTTCAATATACACAGTTTTTTCTTGTTCTGCACTTGTTCTAATGGACTGATCTTAGGATGGAGGCTGCTTTTAAGAGAAAAGTAAATCTTTTTTTAGTCCTTGAAACAGAAGACTGGGTGGTGTAAATGGTCAACTTTTAAGACTAGAAAAATACTGATCTCAATCTTTCCTGAGAGCAAGAGTGAAAGCTGGCTAAAAGGAAAGTATTGGTATAGCTGTGAATTCAATGGCTGTCTCTACAAAGCAGTCAATTTGCCTAGGTAAGACAAAGAGGCTACTTAGAGGTGCATATGATCTTACCTGTGTTAGAAGAACAAACTGAGCAAACTGCCAGGGAAGCATGAAAAAGATATTAGAAACACACAGTGCAATCAAGCTTCCTGTATTAATATTCGGAATCCTTGGGAAAAAGAGACAGAAGAGGCATCAGTAAGTAAAATTACACAGGTATTTGCATATTATTGAAAAGTACAATAGAGAATGCAATAAAAACAAAGGTACCTTGGAAGTTAGCTAGCAATATTGATCAACTACAAATAACACTGCTCAAGTAAATTTAATATCCATTTTCCATTAGTTTCCAAAAACAATAGTTCTGATGCTTAATGATTCTTAACTATTTGATGAGTGACTCATTACCAAACAAGTCTTCTCCTGGCAGCATGTAATATAGCAGGCCAACCTATGTCACTTGCAGTGGTCCGCCTTCTTGTAACAACTCTACAGTCAGGCCACAATCATTTCCATTTCAGCTGGGATCACAACTGTTCTCAGAACAGTCTGCATTTGAAAGTGATTTCACTCTTCTCTTTGACATTTCTTCCATATTTACTTTCTGCAACTTTCTGCCAGCAATCCTGAGTGAGGTTTCAGGGCAGGAGACAATGACAAATACATGAAACTCATCTTTAACTGAAAACAGCCCATTCTCTACATCCTGCTGTAAGTCTTATTTATTTAATCCTGTGTTAGCTCTGAGTTCACTTCAGAAATATGTCACGTTTCAAATTTCACTAAGTGGCCTCCATCAGATGAAGACACCATAAATATTCTTCTGTAAAACCCAAACCCAACAGATTACAGCAGTCTCACCAAATTCTGTAAAATTTTCTTCAGCTTCTTTTATGAAGCCTCATGATTAACTTTGATTTGAAATCATGATGAGCAGGAGTCTAATGTATTAAGTAATACATTGTGATACAAAACTGATACAAGTGATACAAATAATGGAGAATTTAAGTTCTAGTCTCTGTTTCAAAGATAGTTCCTATATTTCACTGGAATACTGCTATACATAAGAGAGTTGCTCTTGAAGCAGGAATTATAACTGAGAAACAGGAAGTTAATGTGTTTTATCTCGGTTTTGGAACCTTGCTCTGAAATGCTTAGATCAAATACCAACTTCTCATCAGTAAGCAAGCCCAGGTACTATTTTATGTACCAAGATTTGAAGAACAGGAGTGAATCTATCTAATCAAGAAGTGTCATAATTATGGCTACAGAATATATGTGTTTTGTTCACCCTAACTTGAAGTGTAATTTCTTCATTTTTTGTTTGACCTCACAATTTAGCATTAAATGACCATGTGTCTTTCTAATACGAAATCTAGCAATCACACTACAAATTATTCTTCATATTTTTCTAGACAGCATGTATCTTCTCCTTACCTAAAACCCACAAGTTAGTGACAGATGAGCACAAAATATTTTTTTGCTTAATCATCAATAACTACAAATCAATATGACGTAATAAAGGAAAATATGGGGTTACAAGAACAAAATTCAGCTAAATCATAAATATACTGCAAAATTGATGCAATGAAGTTGGTGGAAAAGCCCTCAAGTATTAATGATCATGCTTATTTTTCACAACAGAGGCAAGACAGCAACCTAATCATGTTGCAAGCCAGTCAACCACTGAAAAGCAGAGCTAATGAATTCTAGAGCATCCCTGTATTAATGTAATTAGATTGCTCTAAATCACTGAAGTAGTTAATTAGTGATAGAAAACTGCAAGAACGTACTAGCTTCTGGGTGCCTATAGCATCCTCTGTTGCATAGCATAAGCTTATTCTAAGTGCAACCAACATACCACTCTCCAAGAGGGACAAAACCAATTGATGAAGTATCAGCTTGTTTCTCATGGGAAGGAAGGGACATCAACCAAAAATTCTGATTTTTAGTTTAGATATATATTTGCCAACACAGTAATTCTGATTTTTATTTTAATCTTGTCTTCAAGTTGCAAAGTTTTTCCTTTTAATAAGTGAGTAATATGACTGCAGTTCTACTGGTGCAGCATCTGCAACGTAACAGCCACAGGAAAGTTTCTATGTTAATAATATAAATGCTACAGCACAGAGAGGCAATTAAATAAGTATTTAAATAAATGCATTTAAATAAATGTTCTGTGACATTCAATTTTTTAAATCATTATGAAGAGCCAAGTATAAACTGAGAGATACCTGAGAATATAGGTCAAAAGCAACATCTGAAGCACAAGGAATGGATATGAGAAACTTTCACGAAGAGGTGGAGTCCACATGACGCGAGTGCACTAAAAATAAGAACTGGGTTAGCTGATAACATTTGCTGCTACATTTCCATAAAACAATGCATTTGTATTTCAAAATGAATGACCACAGATACTTCAATAAACCAAACTACATGATATTTTACTCAGAAAGTAAAAAAAAAAATAAAAAGGCCAGGAAGCAGAAAAGAGAAGGAAAAAGGAAGCGTCTTCCAGACTTGAGGTCTATGATGCACTGTTTAATTAAAATAGATCACTGCTTTTCCAAAATTAAATGTGGCAGCTAGAGAACATCCAAGAAAAAACCCAGGACAGCAGCTGCTTGTCCCTGCTTTTGCTGAAATTAACAACTCATTGCATGTAATTAAAACCATTCTCAAATTCAGGCAGTGACTTGCCACACTTAGAGAAAGTATGTGGGGAGAGTATCTGAAGGATAAACCAACATACTCTTCATTATGCTAGAGTTCTCTAGGTTATAAACTTTTCACATTTCTACTAGCAACAGCACAGAAAGTATAAAATCTGAAGCTGCCCTCCAAAACAGGCCAGTAAAATTGAACACATGAACTTAAGCTCTTACAGAGCTTATACTAACTTATATACTTCACTCTTTAATCCAAATAAAGCAAAGCATAACACAATGAAGTCAATTAAGTAGTTTTTTCATTAATTTCTTGGGGTTCATGGCAAATGGCTCAGCTATAACTGTCATCTCCAATGTTTATATTCATAAGGTGCTTGCAGATGGCACTGACCATCAAAAAAATAATTCCAACTTTACAGGACAACTTTGACATACAAGTAAATGGGCTCAAAATAGCTATCAATAGATTTGCACTAAAAATTGGAAGTAGGTTCTTTACAACTACAGGACAAAAATGTAGTTCATCTTAATATGGACCATAATGAATCTATGAAAGCTTATAGGATGTTGATGCCAGGATGTTCCTTCTCCTTCACTTCCTGTAATCTTAAAACCATTTTAAAAAAATACTGTTTTACCAAAGAAGTCACCTGAATCAACATTATACTATTCCTTGCTTATTCTCTTGCTCTTTCACAAATATGTTAAATTAATAGTGTAAAATAAATGTGTAGAAATAGTGTAAAATAAATGCGAAGTACAGAAGCCCATCACATTAATCACAGTCCTTGCTGTCTAAAAGCACTCTGATTACCATTAAAATAAACCTTTCATAAATATATATGCAAATGTGTTGTCTTCAGCTGACTGCACAGATATGATAAGTTAATTATTTTTATTAGCCATAAATATAATCATGATTATTTTAAAACAGTGTAGTCTTTTTTGATTCTTTTTCAAGACTACAGCAACATTTGATTTACCAAATCTTTTGATATTGGAGGAGATAAGGACAGGAAAGAGATGATGAGCATATACAACCATAAAAAGGATGCTTTACCTTAAAAGTGGATTGACTAATGTAGTCCATGCTATTTTTCTATATTTGGAATGTAATACTAAACTCAATCACCTGTGGATGATTTATCAAGGCTGTAAACTAACTTTGCTGCAGGTATAAATACATCAGGTCTGTCTAAGCTTGGAATCATTAAAACACAATAGCACAAGCACAGCACACATGAAAACATACTGCCTTAGGATTATCAGCTCAATGCCAGAAGGCTAACCACTTTTACACAGCATTAGATCTGAGCTACCAAGACTTGCAGATCAGGCTTACTCATGTAGCTCAGTCCTATCCTTCCACAAAAGGAAAGCAAATTTTTAGCAACTGGTTTAGCTCCACAGTACGTACTGTTGAACCACATGCAAGATGATGTAGACAGAATCAAAGGCATATCGAAGAGTTAAATAAGATAGTTTTTTTATACATACATGCATGCATACACACCCCTTGCATGTGATTCAACAGTATGCACAGTGAAGCTAGATCACCTACATACATGTCACTATATACATAACTTACATATATAACCAAAACTCCATATACACATATCAAACTGAGTTATTTCATTAGGTACAAATGCAAAGAGTCAGCTCAGATCTAACACTGCACCTCTGTAAGTAAGCCCTGTTGATCTCCAGAAATCCATACAGCTGAGTCTGAATCAGGGTCACCCTACTTAAGCTCTACCTAAACCCAGACTACGGCTGTGTAGAGCTATGCAGACCTAATTTCACGCCACGCTCCAAAATACACACTTCTCTGTGGTTTTCCCCCAAGTCAAGTCATCCGTAGAGACGAGATGAGCTCTCCTACAGAGTCTCCTGTGGATAGGACTGCCTGTGCCATAGCGAAATAAATGCTTCTTTTCATTATTGCTACCACTATCTTTGAAGTTTTAAACTTGTTCCATTCTGAATTACACTATCACCTTCACAGACTTGGCAAAACAATACAGTCTATCGGTATTTCCTAGCAAAGGATAAAATATTCACTTCACTTCAGAATGCCGTTAAGAAGAATGGCAAAAAACCAAAAACAAAACATATAAAACTTTGTATTTACCCTCTTAAAGCACCAAAAGAAGTTCAGAAACTCTCTAACATTTGCCTGGTCTGGACCAGGCAGTTAGCATCCATGGGTGAAAATTCTTCATGGAGCATATTTAGAGAAAAACATTTCAAATGAAACTTAAAACTAAAATAGCTATTTCATCTCACAGGTTTTTGTTTTATAAAAAAATTGACAAAGCTTACTATAAGTAAAACATCTTTGATTTTATTATGTGCAACTACATACTAGTACTACTTTGAGTCTTCTATCAAGTTCATCTCAGTAAAATAAGAAAACAAAACATAACTTTAGCCCTTAACAAAATCATAAGGTAGCTAGTTTTGATCCAGAAAATCTTTACAGTACAGCCGCATTTTAAGTAAAAGAAAATATTTACATAAATTTATATATAAATCATAAAATAAACATTAAAAAAAAAAACAGAAACACTGCCCCAGGGTATCAGAATAAAAGCCATGAGTTTTCTTCCAAAATATGGCACACTGACACAAACAGCATTAGCTGGGGACACAGGGAGATGTTTTAAGTGACAGTTTCTTTCTTTTTTTTTTTCTTTAACACAGCTTACTGAAGATGTTAGCACTGGAATTCTCTATATACATACACAGTTTCTAAATTCTGTGTATCCTGACTTTAGTATATCAATACTACATAGGTTTCTTTGCTTTTTGTGTATGCATTCATGAATTTCCAGTAAAATACATAGCAATTTAAAGAAAACCCCTTCCATTTCTGAAGCTTGTTTGTATGGTACACCTAGCCCAGTTATGTCTGGAATGGGCACAAAAATAGAATATTTGGATGTTTTAAAAGTTGAAGTCATTGTGCTACTAAGATTTTAACCTCAGGGCCACTTTACAACGTACTTCCTTTCTAAATTTTTTTTTAAACATCTAAGCCGACACATTGGACGGTGCTATACATTTTTGAGTCATAGCCTATTTTGCTTTCAATAATGTCTTATTCCTTTTAAATTCATCCCCTAATAGATAGGCAACATCACTATCTTTCATGAAATGAGAATTAGCTTAGAGGGAGACCTACCTCTCCATGGTTGAAAAAGAAACACATCACGGTAATGAGGCCTCCTAGACGGCTCCCACTGTGAAAAGAACATGAAAAACAGGTACAACAGAATATCATAATGGTCAATGCTGCTTAAAAAGTATGAAGCAGCACTTATGTACTGCTAAGTTTATTGACGAGGGGTGGGGAATGCCTTCAAGCATCAAGGGAAAGCAACCAAAATATCCAATATTAAAACACTAGTTAGTCAGCTAATGTTTATTTCAGAGCAAACTACTCTTCATGTATCAGCTCTTTTCTGCAGAACACCAATTTTAATGTAAATAACTTGCAAAACTGTTATTCCACTCCTCACAAACTTTGGTTTAGATCATTACATCTGATACTTCATCTGCTGTACCCAGAGCTTGGTCTTGAAAAGTGCCAATTTTTTTTTTTTTTTTTAAACAGCAGGCAATATAAATGGAGTATTTCTTTCCTAAGATGTTGAGCAGAAAACTTTAGAACTTGCACACTGAATCACCCAAAAGGGATCTTGGTGAATTTTTTTCTGAATCTAAGATTATATTAGGGTAATCAAATCAAGTACATTCAAAAAACATATTTAGAAATTAGTTCATGACGTGGTCAATGCAAGATACAATTTAATTCTTATGTGAAATACTGTGATGTTACCATGAGAAAGTTTAAGCCCTTGACTTCATGATTTTTATACATTTCCAAACCAGATTCACCTGTTGAATAATTAGCACCATGGAGTCAACACTAAAACTAAAGATATTACTTAGATTTATCCCATCTCAAAACAGCGATAGATAAGGTTCCTATTTGTTTGATTATATTGGTAATTACTCATGTCCTGTGATATAAAGAACGTTTTTGTGCGCACAGGTGCACTACTACTACTGAATGACAGAATATACCATTTTTGCTACCAAACAAAAAGTATCAGCCAGCTGTTAAAATTCTTTTTAAAAAAAACCACAAACCTCAGATCCTTCACCCATTACTAATATACAAGGTGAACAGTATCAGTGAGTTCTGGACACAACATCTGACGATTAAAGATACCAAATGAGTGCTAAAACCATCTCCAGGAATTGTGCATTCATGCACATAAAACTCAACCTTTTATTCCACAGATTCTAGAAGCATCAACACTGAAACCCAAAATGACTAAAAGAACATGCTTAATATTAAAAAAATGTTAGTCTGAAAAACAAAGCAAAGTAAAAATTTGCAAAAAAAACCACTCAAAACTAGAAAAAAATTCAAGATCTATGCTAATGGTTAACATGATAAAACCTTAAAGTCTAGAACACAAGGTTGCGGTGGGCTGACCCTGGCTGGATGCCAAGTGCCCACCAAAGATGCTCTATCACTCCCCCTCCTCAGCTGGGCAGGGGAGAGAAAGTAAAGCGAAAAGCTTGTGGGTTGAAGTAAGGACAGGGAGAGATCAGTCAGCAATTACCATCATGGGCAAAACAGACTCGACTTGGAGAAAAATTAATTTACTACCAATCAAATCAGAGTAGGATAATGAGAACTAAAACCTTTCCCCTACCCCTCCCTTCTTCCAGGCTCAACTTCAATCCTGATTTCTCTACCTCCTCCCCGCAAGCAGCACAGGGGGACGGGGAATGGGGGTTGCGGTCAGTTCATCTACATGTTCTCTCTGCTGCCACTTCCTCCTCAGGGGAGGGACTCCTCACACTCTTCCTTTGCACCACTGTGGGGTCCCTCCCATGGGAGACAGTCCTCCATTAACTTTTCCAACATGGGTCCTTCCCACAGGCTGCAGTTCTTGACAAACTGCTCCAGCCTGGGTCCCTTCCATGGGGTGCCATCCTTCAGGAATACACTGCTCCAGCCTGGGTCCCCCACGGGATCACACGTCCTGCCAGCAAACATGCTCCAGCCTGGGCTCCTCTCTCTGCATGTCCTGCCAAGAAGCCTGTTCCAGCATGAGTTTCCCACAGGGCCACAGCCTCTTCTGGGCATCCACCTGCTCCAGTGTGAGGTCTTCCACGTGCTGCAGGGGGGCAGGCTGCCTCACCATGGTCTTCATCACAGGCTGCAGGGGGATCTCTGCTCCAGCACCTGGAGCACCTCTTGCCCCTCCTTCTTCACTGACCTGGGTGTCTGCAGATTTCTTTCTCTCACATGTTCTCACTCCTCTCTCCAGCTGCAATTGCTGTGCCCCTTTCCCCCCCACCCTTCTTAAATATATTATCCCAGAGGCGCTACCACTGTCACTGATGGGCTTGGCTTTGGCCAGCAGTGAGGCCATCTTGGAGCCGGCTGGCATTGGCTCTGTCAGACACAGGGGAAGAGGCC